CTGAGGAAGGACCTGCAGAGGCCACAGAGAAGGGAGCCTGAGCTGAGGTGGTGGGCCAGGGCCTGCCTGTCCTGACGCTCCCCCATCAGGGCAGGAACTATCTTTGCGCCTCTTGTGAGTCTTGTTAATGTATCCCTTTTTATTTGTTGTTTTATATTTATTTTTACTGACACCAACAAGACACTCTCATTGTGACATTTAAATAATAACAGCAGCCAACCATTATTAAGCTTTTCCTAGTTCCTAAGGCCTTTACTCTTACTCAGATAACCCTCCTAACACTCCCATGAGCTAGGTATGGTCACGGTCCCCATTTTGCAGATGGGGAAACCAAGGAAGAAATCAAATAAGTCACCTAGGTCTCACAACTAGTAAGTGGAACCAAGGTTCCAGGCTTCATGTTCTTAGCCATATTTTCCAGGGACAAGTAGTAACGGTCTTCCCTGTTTGCGTCTCCCCCACCCCCTGCATCCCAGCTCTGGTTCCTCCCCAGAGCCCATCCACTGCTTCTGGATGGGCTTGCTCCAGCCACACCTTTCTTGTCCACCACTTACAAACATTTATGTATCCATAAAAATTGGTAGTTAGTTTTGCGTGCATTTGTGTAAATAGGGTCACACAGTTTGGATTGTTCTGTGGTCTGCTTTTTTGCTTCATGGTGTGCCTTGGAGATCTCCCCGAGGTGAAGGCATAGATCTTCATCCTTCCCCAATGCTGCAGAATATTCCAGCCTGGGGGTGCACCACAGTTGATTTCACCAGCCTCTGACTGATGGGCATTTAGATTTTGACAAGAAAAAAATTCTGAGATGTTCTAAATTAAAATTACAGTGGCCGGAGAGTGAGAGAGACAGAACAGTTAGCCCGTTAATAGCTGTGGGCCAGCTCTCACAAAAGTCTCCTCACACTCCTGCGTATCTGTTGGAATTTAGCATGAATTTCCAGGTGGCTGTTTTTGTGATTGTCGAACCCCAGGAGCCTCCGCTTCTGATTTACATATGAAGTTTCTAATCTGCTGCCCACAGCTAATCCACAGGAGCAGACACTTCTTCCTTGTGGGGTCTGTGCCTATCCCAGAACTGGCCCCAGCTTCTCCCATTCCCTTTGTAGCTCATGTAAATCCTTTCAGAAAGGCTTATACCACCCGCTGGATATATAAAAACGCTTGCAGGACAAGCGACATGTTAGTCTTTCCTGCCTAGCCACATTGCTGGTGGTTTAGACTCCATGCCCCAAGACCAATCGTCTTCTTTTTCTCTCTCTAGCAATAGCCTAATAAACCCTTTCTTTCAAAAAGACTTTCAGCCGTGGAAGTTAAAATTCTTGTTAAGCCATTGTAGGTACTTTTTCCCTATTATAAATGCCGTGGCAGGAAATGTCTAATGGACTCCTTCTGTATATGTCTCTCTGCGCATGTGAGCGAGTATTTCTCTTGAATACTTAAAAGTGTAATTACTGGGTCTGAAGTTGATCCTGTCAAATTGCTCTCCAAAAAATACGTACCCCTTAACAGTCCGCAGCAAGATGGTAGGGAAGTGCCCATTTTGCTGCATCTTCACCAGCATTAGGTGTTGTGAATAATCGATTTTTGACGTGGTGCCTGGTGAATGCCAGGTCCTTGGTGGTGGTGTGAAGGGGTCACTGCCCACCTGTCCGCTCACTCCTTGTTGCCCACTCCCACCGTGTCTTTCAGCCTGGCTTCTCCACCTCGGTCTCCGCCATGAACGGGCCCGCCCTGCAGCCTCCCTCGGCCTCTTCCACGCCCTCCGCCGCCTCGTCCGCGACGCCGTCCCCGCGGGGCTGGAGCGAGTTCTGCGAGCTGCACGCGGTGGCCACGGCCCGGGAGCTGGCCCGGCAGTACTGGCTCTTCGTCCGCGAGCACCCACAGCACGCGCCGCTGCGCGCCGAGCTGGTGTCGCTGCAGTTCACCGACCTCTTCCAGCTCTACTTCTGC